CAGGGCATCCAATGCCAGAACTTGACCCAAGGGTCATAGAAGTGTACAAAGGTGTCAATAAGGTAAGTTACATCAGTTGTCTGACAGCAGGGCAACTGTCGATTATGTTCCCGACTGTAAATGTTAATATCTCCTAGTGAGCAGTTACATGATATTTATAATATCTTTTGTTTCAGGTTCTGTCGAGATACCGCAGCGGTAAATTGCCAAAGGCTTTTAAAATAGTCCCGGCACTTTCAAACTGGGAGCAGATTCTTTATTTGACTGAGCCTGAGACCTGGACTGCAGCTGCTATGTACCAAGCGACACGGTGAGTCCCCAGACGGTTTGATTGTGGCTTTAAACTGAGTGAGTTATGGAATCTACTGCAGAAATGTGTACATGGTACAATAAAGTATTTTTTTCATGCTTTTTGTTATAGAATTTTCTCGTCTAATCTGAAAGAGAGAATGGCCCAGAGGTTTTACAACTTGGTGCTCCTTCCGCGAGTAAGAGATGATATTGCAGAGTACAAGAAACTCAACTTTCATCTCTACAGTGCTCTGAAGAAGGCCTTGTTCAAACCAGGGGCATGGTTTAAAGGTGAGACCATTTAAATGGATATTTTATTTTCCCTTTTCAAGAGTCATAACAGGAAATTGATATTAGAGAACAGCAATTGTAGATTGTTGATTATTGGGACCTCTTAACTATTTATGTATTCCTATTTGTTATGCCCTGCATTTTTTAGTTCCGGTTTATAAACATGCACATTTACTTGTACTGCTCCCACATCAAAATAAACAGAATCGTTAATGACATCAGCATGGGCTCTAATAATTGTAATGGATTCTTTCAGTTTCCCGATGTTAAATGGACTGAACAACAGTGGTGGAGAAACTGTTGTTAAAATACAACATTAAAAGTAAAAACTAATCCTGTTGGTACTTAACTTAAAGCATGTAGTTATAATCAAGGATACACTAACTCATATTTGTTTAGTAATATAGTAATTATACTTAGTTACATTCCACCACTGCCATACAATAAATCAATTATTCATAATTTGCTTGTTACTGACCTAATTTATGTTAATATGATGTCTTTTAGCAGTAAGTTATCACCAATGTTTGATGCTTGTTATTCCTCTAAAAATGTATCATTACAGCTGACTTTGAAAGTATCTTAGTGTCCGAAAAGGTTCACGGGTGATGTGAAAAACGTTTACTTTCCCTTAGATAAATATAAAGAGTTTACTTAATCATACACAATTATCCTTACATGGTTTATATCTTATCTAACTATTGTTTCATTAAATCCCCAGTGAATGCTGCTGGGATAAGCTCTAGTCACACCACACGTGACCTTAAAAAATAAAAGTTAGCTGAAGTGAACGACAGAGAGGTTTTGACAGCTTGTTGCAACAAAGACATTACAGGCTTACTGGGATCTGTCACGTTTCTAATTCCAGCACCATATTTAGAAACTATGCGGAGGACACTGTCGGCGGATTAGTTTCTGTCCGCAGGGTAAAATACACCATTGGTTCTAGAAGCTCAGTAATCATGGCACGCACATTTAATTGGGTTAAATCATCATTCATGTGTCAATAATTCATTTGGCCAATGATCGTAGAGTAGTTATTTTCTTTAATCCTGTCAGTTTTATGTATTCACATTCATGTCCCAGATAAATAGGACCATTTCCCCCCAAACCTCCCATGACCCATATTTACAGGACCACCAGTATGAGACGACACCACTAAGTGGCAGTGTTGCTCACAAATACACTGAACACTACTGTATACCAACACAGTGTGAAAGCTCTTATTATACATCCATGGTGAATGGGAGAACTGACTGCTAGTGATAAGCACTTTCCATTGTTCTTGCATTGGGATTCATTAATTTAACTGTAGAAATTAGATATACAATTGATTAAATATATTTTTTGTGAGTTGACTTTAGTTTTTTTTTCATGTGCTCAATGCACTTGCAGGCCCTAAAATAATGTGTTTAAAACAAATACATTTTACATTACAAATGTATTAATCACATCAAACATGAAATATGAAAGCAAACTTTGAAAGCACAGAATTATTTATTTAAAAAATAAGTTGTTTATGCTCACAATGTCTGATGTAGAAGCTTTTAAACTGCCAAGATATTGTTTTGCTGATAGCAAGCTGTTGTTTTTTTCACCCAAAAGAAAAACTGATTAGGCTAACTGTAAAGGTTTATATTAAAGGCCAAGTTTGACAGTGAAAACTGCAATTTATCCTACTTAATGCATATACTTAACTACCTCAAAATCAAACAAACAAGATACACAGGATAAATTGTTTTATTGCTAATTTACTGTCTTTATAACTTTCACACGGCCAAGTCTGTTAATCATACAGCCATACGGTTCTCCAGACGTGACTGCTCGCAAGTCATAAACGTGGGAATCTTTCCCGTCTATGCAATCCGTTCCAACAAATGTAAAGATAGCTTAACTTAAGATGCCTTTGTCCTGCAATATTGAAAGTGTGTTTTCACAGTTTATGGAGCCATAAACAGTTGAATCCATTTTACTAGGGACTAAAGGTCAGGTTAAGCAAAGTCACTGTAGCATCTGTCGCGGGTTCCCCATCTTATAGAAGTGCTGGAGTACTCGATAATATTATGTGCCTCTTCTGTCACACAGGTATACTGATTCCTCTGTGTGAATCTGGGACATGTACTCTGAGGGAAGCCATCATCATCGGAAGCATACTCACAAAGTGCTCCATCCCGGTCCTCCATTCCAGGTAATGTTTCATCAATACACTAACCTGCAGACAAATGTCAGCAAATAAATACATTAACTACTGCACCGTAATTTCTTCTGGAAATGAATGGTGATTGTAACATTTACCACTGAAGACAAAAGCCAGGTTTTTTTTAATCCAATGTGAAAGGAGCTTTAGATAAAGGTATCAGCCAGGTGTCCTTGAATACTTCATATTTGGTGGTGTTGGCAAGATAAGTGAGGTCAAGGTTGCATAACCTGGGCGGTTGTATAACGCAAAATTGTTCTTGTCTTTCAGCGCTGCAATGCTTAAGTTGGCAGAGATGGAGTACAACGGCGCCAACAGCATTTTCCTACGCCTCTTGCTTGACAAGAAATACGCCCTGCCTTTCCGTGTCCTAGATGCCTTGGTGGCCCACTTCCTGTCCTTCCGCAGTGAAAAACGTGAGCTTCCTGTGCTGTGGCATCAGAGTTTACTCACCATGGCTCAGCGCTACAAGGCTGACCTGCCCTCCGAACAGAAAACGGCACTGCTGGAGCTGCTCAAGACACAAACACACCCTCAGATATCTGCAGAGATTCGCAGAGAACTGCAAAACTCAGAGTCCAGGGATCTTGAAATTGGGCTCCCTGTTGTAGTTGAAATGGACTGAGGAATATGTCTGGTCTGGGGTCTCCTCCCTCTCTGTTGCAAATGATTCATGTTTTTTTAGCATGAAGAAAATTGTATTAAATCTAACTTCATTATTCTCCCTGAACCATAAAAGGACAATTTCAATGTGATTGCATTCTATTACAGTGCCTCAGGAGCAATCATCCTGCAACCTGCTTGGATGAAGTTGCACATCATTAGTGATGTTGATATTGTAATTTAATATCAGAAATATCTGAGCTTGTATCCTGCAGTTGCAGTGCAGTGTTTTCCTTGGGAATACAAAGACTGGGGGTTGTTATGATTTGATTAAGAGCAACTTGTTTTAGCGACACAAAAGATGGATAGTAAAAGACTGTCTATTTGCAGCCCAGTTTTCGAATATTTCCCTGAAATGTTGTCTTCAAATGGTAAATAAAATGTAATACTTAACTTTCTAAAACATATTTAGATGTCTTTTGTTTTTAATTGTATCTAAGATGTATTGATGATTTGTGAAACGCATTTTAATTAGTCATTAAATAAAATTTATATTAAATATAACTATTATTTAACTAATTAAACTCAAAATATTTAGCAAGTAGTCTACACTGAAAAATAAATGTAAGTTAATATTGAGAATAATATATTGAGAATAATTGTAAATATGAAGTGTACCCTTAAAAATAATGTTAATATAAGACCACTTTTTAAAGGTAGGTTAGGTAAGAAAGGAGAAAAACCAGCTCGAGTAAGCTCGAATTTGAAAGTACACAACCGAAAAAGATCTGCCCCTTCCTTACAGAGCCCCTCCTCCAACACACACGAACGCGCACATGACCAATGACGGCACGAGATAAATTTGTGCACGAGATGGAAGGCTGCAGGTAGGCCATCCAATTAACTGCCACGGGCCGAGGCAGTAATTGGACTTGATTTTTACAGCGCTACGGCTTCCACAGATGACATATTTGTATATATTTATTGTCAAAGCATTTAATGTATACATTGCTATCGGGATGTTAAGAGCATTCTATGGAATATAACAAAAAGTGTTTCTGAAGTGATTTACCTACCCTACCTTTAACCCAAATTAGGTGATTTACAGTAATCGGAAAATAAATTGCTTTTTGCCTTTCAATACCAAAAAAATAGAACATACCAATACACTCGTGTCTTTTTCTAACTCAAAAGGAAAATTTCAATGTAATGCTAATTTACAACTCTTCTCTGAACTAAACAAAACTGGGATTTTGATGTTGTCGTAATGTGCGGTCAGGTTAACGTTATGGGTCTGGACTGTTTACAAACTTCTTGGGGTTCAAATTATCCCGAGGGCCACGAACGCACCATTAAATTAACATATTTTTCCGATGAACCAGGATGACATTTATTTAAAATTGGTTTAAAAGAGTATATTTATATCCCACTGATGCTAAATTGAAGGAAACATTAAAAACGAGGCGGTAGGAGATACAGTTTGAACGCTACAGGACAGTTAGCATCGCTAGCTAACGGTAGACCTTAAAAGCTTAAAACGGTAACTAGCTAGTTTATCGGCTTTTTAATAATTTAAAGTAGATACAATATTTAATTCCACGGTATTTAACTTCGTCGAATGGAACTTTGTGAGGATGGACAGCTTCAAAGTGGATCCACAGATATAAATGCGTGTGATACGGAGTGTGATGTGGTTCTCCGGGCTGGCAGCGACCATCCCGTGACCTGCGATCCCAGAACCCTGCACAACCTGACGGCCTTAGAGAAGAGCTGCCCGCTGCCCCCGCCCTATGGCAAGGTGCAGACAGACATCGAGCCCCACATGCGGAGGATACTGGCAGTCTGGATGTTTCAGGTGTGCAAATCAGTCAGAAAAGTTCAAGTGTATCTCAAATTGTTATTAGTGATGACGTAGATTTTGTAATTTATATCAGGAATATCTGAGTTTGTATCCTCAAATCAATAAAAAAAAGTCTATATATCTCTCGTAGCTGACTTTAAGAGCAACATATGGGTGTTTTGTAGGTGTGTGAGGAGCAGAAATGTGAAGAAGAGGTGTTCCCATTGTCGGTGTATTTGCTGGACTGTTACCTGAGCCGCTTCGCCACTGAAAAGTCCAACCTGCAGCTTTTAGGGTCTGTTTGCATGTTCCTGGCCTCCAAAATGAGAGAGACTGTCCACCTGACGGCCAGCACGCTTTGCATCTACACAGAAAACTCCATTTCAGTTTCAGACATCCTGGTAAGTATACCTAAACGTTGTGTAGTTGACTTATCACTACTGTATACAATCTACTGTACATGTACCCATAAGCAATGTAGCAATGTAGCTAGCTTGGGCTATGGGTTTTAAAAATATTCAGGCCTACCAGTCATTGGAACCAAATCCAAAATAGGCCTGTCAGAATAACTACATTTGTTGGACGATATATATTTTCCTAGAAATAAAGCCTATAAACACTATTACTTTCATTCAAAACAAATGTATGCCAGTGATAAGCATAATATATCATGGTATAATACTGCAAGTATACTCTTTCAAAGAGCAATGAACTTTTCATAATAATATTCAGTGATTTGGGATTCAATTTAACAAATAATCAGATAAATAGAAAGATATATGATAAGTCGATAACACAATTATCATCAAAGGCCCTATGCCAAAGACATTGGATACCCAAATATACAATTGAGATGTTAGACATAGCTTTGTCTTATGTGTGTGTATGTGTGTGTGTGTGTGTGTGTGTGTGTGTGTGTGTGTGTGTGTGTGTGTGTGTGTGTGTGTGTGTGTGTGTGTGTGTGTGTGTGTGTGTGTGTGTTTCAGCAGTGGGAGGTGGAAGTCGTGTCCAGGTTAGACTGGTGTCTGGCGTCTGTGGTACCCTCTGACTTCCTGGAGCCAGTTCTGCACGCTCTCCCCTTTGTTCAGCCCCACCACTTTCCTAACATGCGCAGGCATGTTCACTCCTACATTGCTCTGTCAGTCACTGGTAAGTTCCCTATCGAACACAAGATGCTTTTTTCCCTAATAAAGTACACTAGAAGAGAATATGCATCCGCAGTGGATGCAAGTATTTTACCATATATATATATATAAATATCTCTCTGTTCAATTATTTCTGTGCCCAATAATAAGGCTATTGTAGCAATAAAAGTAGGATTTTATATCCCTTGTCATACAATCAGTGATAAAAAAATGGAAGTGAGCGTTTAATGTAACAGTGAAAGAAAAGTCTTTCCACACTGTGGACAATGGACACAAAGCAGCCATAACTTTGATTACGATGTGTCAGCAGTTCATTTAGGAGACAAAGAGCTGAGTTTGTGTAATCCTGTATTGTCTGCTGTTAAAGACCAGCGTCCAACTATTCAGCTGGATGATTTCCCACGAATCTCTGTGGTGCTGCCCGAGGCAGCAGGTCACAGGGATACGTTCAGTTTAGTGCTGTTTTAGACAAACTATGATGTTACAGCGCATACAATTAAGACAATTCCTGGCTCCCGACAATGTAACTCTTTTAAAAAGGTGTCTGAGCGAGGATTGAATATCTAATGCTTCGTCTCAGTGTATCTCCTGCCTGAAGCAATTAGGTTTTGGAAAATGTCTGTTTTTGTCCATCAGGGTGTGTCTACAATGGTGGCATCTGTTTGAATGTCAACTGCTAGCCTTGCCTATTTAGCACCTGCTGCAATAGTCTACAATACTTCAAGTGAACAACAATTGCCCATCATAATTAGTAAATTAAGTGTGATTAATTTTAAGGTAAATTATATCCCTCTCTTTTCCTCAGACGGCAGGTTTTCAGTGTTCTCTCCCTCCACTGTTGCATGTGCCTGTGTGAGCATTGCCACACAGAGGCTACAGTTATCGGACTCCTCTGATTCAGTGATGACGTTTTTGGCCAACCTTTTGGTCATTGATCTGGTAAGGGTAATATTTAACTGACATTTGTCGATAATATTTTTTGGGACTTTGCCCTATTGTCAACATTGTCGGGAATGTTTGTGATAATTTTAGAAAGCACTCTGATAACAGTCTTTGGGAAAAATACAAATAAATGTTTGAAATTTGTTTAGAAGAGTCAGTTATCATGTACATGGATTATTAGTCAATATCCATAGAAAGAAAGTCTGTCCATGCCCCACTGATGAACTTATGCTTGTGTCCCTGACCATGAACAGAGCCCTGTCCTCCTCTGCTATGAGCAACTGGGCAGTGTGTTGGAGCTCAGCCTACCCTCTGGTTTCCAGGCAAGTGTTAGCAGATCAGGAGCAAACAGCTCAGAGATCAGCTACACCCCTGCTGTCTTTCAGGATGCTGTATTGACACCAGTGACATCTCCCCAGGAAATCCATCTCAAACACTCCTCCCTGACATGACTGGCTAAAATGAATTATAGATGCATGTACATGTGCATGTAGAAGAAATAGCCTAAATATCAAGATAAATGTTTCTAAATGCCATTTCTCTTTTATCATAGTTTTTTGCAAGTTCCTTCTGCGACATGTAGAGCTTTTAGAGTTTGAGATTGCTTTTGTTATATCTACTTTTCAAATATATATTTAGCATTAATCTTGATTAATTGAAAATGTAATGAAATCTTCATATCTGGACAGTTCTAATGATTTTGAAAATATGTTTTATGCATGGTTTCAACACAGTATTGAATTGCCTTGTGGCTTTTATCAATATTCGGCAACATAAAATATGTTGTAAAAAAAACAAAACATTTGCATGTGGGTCACATAAAACAATGTCCAGCATTCAAGTTCTCAATTTTTTTATTGATTTCCTCATCCCAGGCATAACAGCATGGCATATCACACGGTCATATAAACGATAAGTCCAGTAACTTTGGCAAACAGGGTTTGTTACTGTTAAAGAAAATAATATTAACAGAACCTGCAACTTCTGGGCCAAGGGGGAGAGATAAACAGTAATGAAATGCCCAAACGCACTTTATATATTGTACAAGAAATATGAAAGATACCATTTTAGACCCGTCTTCCTCGGTGTCACACTTCAAGAATAAAATATTCAGATTTCTGTGACATAATAGAAATGAATGACAATAACTTCCAGTTGAAATAAGGCATTTGCTAGTTTACATTTGTATAGGCTTTACATTCCTGATCAGATTCTTATTTTGGAAAAAAATAACTGAAAATATACACATTTTACCATTCCAGTTCCTTAACAAAAGCATGGCTTTGCAGCATCGGAGTACTGCAACTTATTATACAATAACTTAATACTTCAATTATAGCTGATAAATACATTGTATGCATCAGGTTTCCATGGGGTGATAGAGTGCGGAAATGTTCCAGGCCTGGGTTTATGTTCTAATTTAATCCCAGCAAGCCAATCCAATTAAGCAACTGCAGTTTGCAGCGTGACATTTCATACAGAAAGAAAGAAACACTTTTTCTCGGATTACCAGGAGGCTATTCATAAAGCAGGAGTTGGAACCAGATAACGTCTCAAACTTAATGATCCTTATCAGCATTTATAAATCACAATTTTACGATTGTACATTTGGAAACATAACGCTTTATTAGTTTAAGGATACACTTCTAATCCGGCTTTGTGAAATACTGTACCACCTCTCGTGTCAAGATATTTAAAATTAAAATGCATACACCTGAGCTCCATGACTGATCTTGAACATTCAGTTGAAGGGCTATACATTGTACACAGCATAGACGAGAGAGCTGGGGCACCATTTTCAGAATTTCAATTTGTGACCTGCAAAACTTTAAAAAAACTCAAGTAAGCCCCACCTTTCCTGTGAAACTGCCACCTGCACACAGAGTGAATGACCTGTGCTGTTGTGCTCAGGAGCAAAAAGCAGGTTCAACTGGTTATGCTCAATGTGAGTCATATGCGTCATGATTATCATTCAAGTATTATCCAAACTTGAAACAAGTAATTTCAAGAAAAGAAAATGCTCTTTGAGAGCTGAAGTCCCTGTTACAAACAAACGTTCCTCTTGGAACTTTTTTATGTTGCTTTGAATAAAGACAAACAAAAAAAGTCCAATGACATAGCAAATTTCATCTTTGGTATCCATGAAATGTCATTTTCCTCATACCCAAAGCTCAGTTAAAGCTGTAAAATACCCATCCTAGCATTAAATCTGGTCATTATCGCTTTAAAAAGAAAAATTAAGGTTCACGGATTATCAGCTGTTAAGTTGTAAACACTTTATCAAACTGTCCTGTAGACAATAAAATACACTTACTCTGTGGCTTAAGCAATATTCAAACAACCACTGACTGTTAATGTCAGTTTTTATGTCAATTTTCATTGAGCAAAGTGTTTAACACACTGTTGCTTTTTGACGTAGTAGACCAGAGTTTTTGACCCACATCAGCTTCTTTCACTGAGGTTCTTTGAAATGGACATTTTTAACTGCAGCATCATTCTTATAAAATACTGTGCCATCTGGTTATTTATAGCCTGTTTTACTCAAATTACAGGCCACCACCATACAATACAATCGGATGTTTAACAAGAAACCTCTTGTGTTTTTGGTACTGTGCAAATCCCTGAAGTTAGCTGATCATTATTACTACAATTTACTAGTGATTTCGCTTAATGCACTTTGGCTTTTGAGTATTCAGTAGTTAGCTGTTAGTCAAAACTTCTGAAAAACAAGTCTTTAGTCAGTGTTCTTCAATAATAACTGGACTTCAGCTTGCTGCAGAGCCTCGTGTAACCACGGCCTGCTTGTAAGCCTCTGTAACATTATCGCAGTCTGTGATGGAAAAGGCACTGTCAGCCACTCCAGCCTCGTAGCAGTTCCAGGGCCTCAGTGGCCCGGCCCCCAGCATCCTGTCTTCTTTGATATCCAGCAGGTTGTCAGCAGACACACATCCTCTCAAGCTAGGCTTGGCTGGTGTTTCCACTTGTGCTGGATGTCGTACATGGTCTGGCAGATCCAGCTGGTCAAAGGACTCCGAAGACAGAATACTGTCCTCGCTGATGGCGCCACTCGGCCTCGACCTGGCGCCTGTGCACGGTAAAGAAGCTGCCAGCTGGTCCAGAGAGCCAAACTCCTGCAGCCTGCCGGAGGAGAACTTTCCATTGCGCTTCAAAATGCCTTTCTTATGGGTTGGTGCTGAAGGGCACTCTTTAGTTTGTGGTGCCCAGCCAGAATCACTGTTGTCAGGAGAGGAGGAGTAGTACCCGGACTCGTGCTCGGTGGGCTTCTTTAGGATACCTTTGCGGGGCAGCAGTGCAGCCGAAGGAGCATTAGCCGCTGTAGCATCACCCAAAATGTTCTGAGGCTCCACTGGACTTACAGCAGGGGCTTCACTCAGGGCCTTCTGTTTCACACTGTTGCGCCTCTTTAAAATACCCTTATAGGGGCGACTGTCTGTGCTTACTTCATGAATGGTCTGGGAGACATTGTTTTCTTTTCGTGACCTTCGCAGAGAGCGCTGCCGGACTACATCCCCTCCCCCGCCCGGCGAGCGGAGCAGGCAGCGCATCTTGGAGCCATTCTCCAGCAAAGGTCTTGATGTACGGCGCAGCCAACTAGCAATGCTAGCCAGCCCAGCAGGGTGTGATGTGGAGGGGGAGGCTGGTGAAGGGGTCTGCTCTAGTGGACTGCTCTTTGTTTCGGCCAGTAATGGCTGCTGGTAGCCCCAGTTAAGCCACCAGTGTCCTGCAATCTCCTCTATTGTGGCCCTGCGCTCTGGATTTACCATTAGCATCCAACGTATAAGCCCACATGCATCTGAGAGGAAGAGCAATAGAGAAAAAAAAACCTGTTAATCTTTCCATTTGAATCCAGACCATGACTAGAATAAAAAGTTGAGATGAAAGACTCACCAGAGGGGTTGGTGGGTTTACGATAGTTTCCAGTGCTGATCTGTTGGACCAATGCCTTGTGGTTGTTTCCATCAAATGGCATGGTGCCGTGAACCATCGTGTACAACAGCACACCAAGAGACCAGGTGTCCACCTCCGGCCCACGGTAAGGCCTTCCATTGACGATCTCCGGGGAGGCGTACAGAGGGCTGCCGCAGAAGGTCTGGAGAAACTCATCACGCTGGTAGAGGTTGGACAGGCCGAAGTCTGCAATCTGTGAGAACAAGAAGTAGACATTAACCTGAGAAACATAGTATTTTCATTAGATCAGAGTAGGAAGAAAATGTGGTATTAATAGATTATCAATATTACACCTGATAAAATTGTGTTAATTATCCAGTGGCACATTAATAATTTATGTTCCTTCTGTTCTTGCTCTACCTCCTTCCCCAAACAACCCACACAAAATGTGTGTAATTAATTTGCCAAAAGTATTCTGTCAGATATTATCCTACAGTTTATGGATATTACACATGTCCTTTATATCTTTACACAAAGCACCATCTGCTGTCATATATAATCTAAACTAACACAGATTATATAACCTAACACTGCAGACTTTTATACCCATGAGCCCTGTGTGTGTAAATGTGTAGTTGTGTTGGTTGGAACTTGTCCCATAAACATACCTTCACGTTGCCGTTGCCATCTAGTAAAATATTCTCCAGTTTCAGGTCTCGGTGTACTATTCCATTCTGAGAGGGAGGGGAAATAAAGATATTAGTTTTTTGCATTTTAAATGATAATGTCTCCACCCGGGCCATTATGCATCAGTTTACTGGAAGTGGTCTTTTTCCTATAAAAGGATCAGTCATTACTGGGACAGAACACATTCTTTTCTGAGATTTTTTTCTGGTACATCAGCTGTGCTTCATTGTCCTCCGCTCTGTAGGGGGGCATGCCTTTGACTCGAGCACAGCCTGAACGTGTTGCTCTCGAACATGCAGGTCAACTACTTCTGCTGCTTGTAGCAACGGATACATTATGTTTGAAGCATTTAGTAATTGTTAAGATGCAGTCATAAAGAAACTATTGTGTGCAGTACTTTATAATTCATCTTGTTTACTATAATATAACCTTTTTTTTTTTTAAAGATGGCTATGTTCAATAAATGTATAAAGTAACATGGAAAATTAAATATTTAACGAGACGTCATCAGCACTCAATAAAAGTGAAATGAGACAGATGGTTAGCACAAAATATGACTGGGCAATTCACTCTGTAAATACTGTCTAGCAAACCTGTAACAGCTCTGCAAAGTGCTGAACTGCTACAATAAAATATAGTGTGTTGTAAAAACCACAACTGATTATATGTGTGTGTGTGTGTGTGTAGCCTTTCTGTTCCATCACACCCTCATTAAGAGTGTCAGACCATGCATGTTGTGTGTGTTGGGTCGGTTGGCCTTTAGCCCTGACGCTAGCTCTCAGCAGACAAACTGTTAATTTCCCCCTGCATCATTCTCACAGCCTCCCTGTGCAGATCAGCAGGCGCACACTGAATAATGCCCATTATGTAACTTTGGGGGTGCCACTGCCCTGGAAGAAAACAATGAGCGAAGCAGCTAGTCTGAGTGGGGCTCTGCGTCATCAGCTTTGACGTACTGTAGCAGCCACGCATGAAGGGAACTGAGATAGATACCATAGATAATATATCTACATTTTGTTTTTCAAAACTTGATTCCAATGTCCCATGATTAAATCTTCTGTAAAAGAAAACAATGTGCTCTGTATAAAATGATTGGATTATGAGAGACTGCCCTACCTGATGGCAGTAGTGCACAGCAGATACAATCTGTCTGAAGAAGCTCCTGGCGTCCCGCTCAGAGATGCTCCTCTTGTCACAGATGTAGTCGTACAGGTCTCCCCGGCT